GCTGGATTCTTGGTGAGGGAATGAGATCTAGGGGTGGGGGCAGAAGGCCTGGCAGTCCACCATGGAGCATTGACCCAGACCAAGTCCATTCTGATGCACAGTGGCCTCACGTGGTGGGCAGAACTGCCCCCCACGTAGGGCTTGTGTGGTGTGCTACCGGAGAAACTCCATTTTAGCAGCTAAAAGGAGGCCAGGGGCCACCTGGGGAGCAGACCATGAATCACTCGCTATGCAAGTTCAAGTTGAAGCGGAAGAAGATGGAGACCAGTCCACCAGAGCCGACCTACAACCTGGCGTCTGTCCCAGCTGGATTTCCAGAACATCTCGAGGGCAGACTTGCTGCACGGCACACGGATGACAGAGGACTTGATGAGCTGTGGGAGGGCGCCCGGAGCACCCTTCACCACGAAGGCGAAAGGTCATTAAGAAGACAGGAAAGAGTCAAGATCCAGGTGAAGGTCAGAAGAGCCTCCGTCACTCGCTCTTCGTCGTAAAACAGCTCAGGCAAGTGTTGGACCCGAGGAAACAGCAGTGCTTGACACAGAACTTCTGAGCATAGCTCCAGAAGACAAAACCGAAATGTTACAATGAGCGGTGCGATGACCTGGAGTCAGAAAACCCAAAGGAAGAACACGCTCAGCGTATCCCAACGTGAAAGAACCCGAGGAAGCATCCGAGCCTCCGTCTGTAATCTGGAAGGAGTCTATGGCAAAATAAGGGGCGATGGGGGACGCGTCAGGAGAAGATGGAAAGAATACAGCCACGGCACCAAAAGGAACTCATCGACACGCCCCCGGTTGAGGAGGAACCATACGAGCAAGAACCCACGGTGCCGAAGGAAGAAGCTCAGGCTTCGCTGAAAGCATTAGACAAAAACAAGGCTCTAGGAATGGATGGAACACCCCACTGAAATGTTTCAACAAGCCGACAAAACCCTGGAAGGACTCAATCATCTATGCCAGGAAATCTGGAGGACAACTCCCTGGCCAACTGATTCCAAGAGACCCTGATTTGTACCGATTCTAAAGAGAAGTGGCCCAGCAGAATGCTCAAATTATAGAACAACACCATTCATATCACACGCAAGTAAGATTTTGTGCACAGTCACCCAACAGTGGGTGTAGCCATACGTTGACAGGTAGCCACCAAAGGTTCAGGCTGGACTCAGAAGAGGACTTGGGATAAGGATGGTCACTGCTGATGTCAGATGGATGCATCTTGGCTGACGGCAGAGAAGGCCAGAAAGATGCTTAACTGTGTTTTATTGACTATGCCAAGGCATTGGACTGTGTGAAACATAACAAAGTACGGACAGCCTTGGGGAAAACGGGAATCCCAGAACACTTCATTGCTGAAGCAGATAAGGGACGTCAGCCTTCAGCGAGGGCTACAACTCATGGTAAACAAGACCCCAATCCTCCCAACTGGACCAGCAGGTAACATCGTCAGGTGAGACAGAGAAAGGACTGGGGTTGTCAAGGACTTCCTCTTGCTTGGATCCACAATCGGTGCTCATGGACGCAGTCACCAAGAGATCAAGGACACATTGTAAGAGCTGTCGCACAGACCTCCTTAGAGTGTTGAAAAGCAGGGGTGTCCCTGTGAGGACGAAGGGGGCGCCTGACCCAAGCCAGGGTTCCAATTGCCTCACCTGCATGTGAAAGTTAGACACTGAATAAGGAAGACCGAAGAAGACGCAGAATGGAGGCATTGGAATTGTGGAGCTGGGGAGGAAGATCGGAAGAGCCGCGGACCGCCAACAGAACAAACAGATCTGCTTTGGGAGAAGTGCAGCCAGGACGCTCCTTAGAAGCCAGGATGGCAAGATGTCATCTCACATACCTTTGGAGAGGTTGTCAGAAGAGACCCGTTCCTAGAAAAGGCCATCGTGCGCGCTAGGTAAAGTGGAGGGGCAGCGAAAAGGTGGAAGGCCCTCGGTGAGATGGACCGACACGGCAGCCGCAGCGACGTACGCAGCCATTAGAACGGATTCTGCTGTGCATCCGTTGTGAGGAAGGCGTAGGGCTGGGCGGTGTTTCGTTCACTCAACGACAACCACCTTCAGCAGACTTTTATCCCCCAGTGCTGCTGCCTGGTTTCAGACCGCCAACCCTTAGCTTAGTAGTCCAGTGCAAACTCCTTGGGCCCCATCAGGTCAGGGTGGGGAGAGATGGGGGTGTCGGGCACATCCCTGCCGGCTGCAGACAGCCCAGAGCCCCTCAGTCTTCTGTCAGACAGGCTGTGACAGCCCACCCAGCTGCCTCCCCCTCTGAGCTCAGCTTCTCATAGCGTGCCTGGGGGTTTGGGAGAAGCCAGGGGTGCCCCAGCACCCAGGGAGGCTCAGGCCTCGTACCTTGGAGTCGGCAAAGACGTACTCCTTCCGAAGAGTCTTCTCCTTCTCGGTTTCCACCACGATCACCAACTTTTTAAGGAACTTCTGAGACTTGACGAGCTGCAGGACTGAAGACAAACGCCAAGTTCAACCACTCACTCATGCAACCAACAGGTGTCAGGTCCCCACTCTGGTCTGGGCTCTGAGCACCTGCCTCTCCTGTTCCCAGGGTTGTGTGGGCTCACACAGCCTCTCACTGCCCGGCTGCCCGCCCTGGGAGGGGCCCAGTGGGCAGATGCTGCAGGACGGGGCCAGTCCAGTGCAGTCCTGTCTGTCTGTTCTTGTTTCCTCTCTCCCTCCCCCTCCTTTATTCCTTCCATCTATGCACCCATCCACCCATTTACCCACCCATCCATCCATCCTTCTATCCACCCATCCGTGCACCCATCCACTCACCCATCCTTCTATCCACCCACCTCTCCACCCTTCTTTGCATCTATCATGCACCCATTCTTCCATCCACTCATCCTCCCACCCACCATTCATCCATGCACCCATCCACTCACCCATCCTTCCATCCTTCCATCCACCCACCTATCCACCCTTCTTTCCATCTATCCATGCACTCATTCTTCCATCCATTCATCCTTCTACCCACCCGTCCATCCATGTACTCATTCACCCACCCATCCACCCTTCCTTTCATCTATCCATGCACTCATTCTTCCATCCATTCATCCTTCTACCCACCCGTCCATCCATGCACCCATCCACCCACCCATCCTTCCATTCACCCATTCTTCCATCCAACCACCCATCCACCCTTCCTTCTACCCACCCATCCACCCATGCACCCATGCACTCACCCACACTTCTACCCATCCATCCATCCATCAACCCACCCATCCATCCATCCATCCATCTCTTCCTTCCTTGGCTCTTCCTCTCCATCCCTTTCTCTGTCACCACCCCCTCCCTCCATCCCTTAGCTTTTTCTTCCCACCTCCCTTCTGTCCTTCATTCTTTTATTATGTTCTTAATTGAGATAAAGATTTTAAAGAAACCATTTATCTATTTATTTTTGTCAAGCCGTTCTGGGAGTGGTTCTGGAGTGTTGAGCTCTGCAGGCTAATCCTGTCCTCAGTAACAACAACACCAAAAACAAAACTTATGTCAGGTGGCAGAGATGACTCAAACTCAGTGCCACCAAGTCGACGCCGAGATGACAGTGACCCTAGGACCCGGGAGACCCGCCCTCGTGGGTTTCTGAGACTGCCACTCTTTATGGGAGTAGAGAGCCCCATCTTTCTCCTGAGGAGCGGCTGGTGGTTTTGAACTGCTGACCTTGCGGTTAGAAGCCCAATGATTAACCACTACACCACCAGAGCTCTAAACAAATAGGACCTTCACCCAAGGTGCAACACTGGTCTCTCCCCATCCAGAGGCAAAGAAGAGCGGAGAAAATCCACAGGCAGGTGGAAACAACGAGTTCAGTGGACCCATGGAGCCTGCAAATAGCGGTCTCTGTGGCGCTGAGACCAGCAGCACTAGATGGTGCCCGGCACTACCACTCCCAGCTTCTCAGAAAAGGATAGAGTTCAAGGGTCCTGGGCAGAGTGGGAGGAAATGTGGAACCGGATTCAGAATCTTCAAAGAGACCAGGATGAGTGGCTGGCTAGAGAGACCGATGGGACCCCCTCAAGCCCAGGGTCCTTCGTCAGGTTTGGCACTGAACTCTTGTGTTAGGCCAACCGCCGTGTAAGATGAAAAAGGCCACATTCACCGGAAGACAAGGTGCCGAGGGTTAGGCACGGAGGAGGCACGGACAGGAAGCATGGGTAGGCAGTGGGACAAGGGACGGTCCACAGAGGGAAGCCGACAGCTGGGAAGTACTGACTGTCAAACTAGCAGCCATTCTGCAAACCTTCACCTGATTCACAAGGAGGCTAAACAAGGACAAATAATAATAATCCATAAGCCAAACGCTCCTAGAAGATTTTTACCAAGCCGGTAAGGCAACCATGTCAAAGCTTTTAGCAGAGTCTTGCTCCCCATCTGTCTGGTCCCCTCCCGATGTTTCTGTTGTGAAGCTCTCCTGTTATGCTCAGACCCACACATTTCCGATGTACGTACGCATGTGTGCTCCTGTTTATTTGCCCGTGAGCCCGTCCTGACTCCCGGTGACCCCGTGTCTGAAGGGACCTGGGCCCCTTAGGGTTTCCGGAGGTTGTGCTTTTGAAAGCAGATGACCAGGCCTCTCTTCCAAGGTGCTTTTGGGTGGCCTGCACCCGCCGGCCTTGATGAGTGGCTGGCCCGTTCACCATCTGCTCTGGCCACACCGCCACGCCAAGTGGAGGGTTGGTTACACGGGATGCCCGACTCAGTCATTAGAACGTCTTTTAGCACCTGATCCATGCAGGGGCAGGGCCTTACCAGGCAGCGTGTAGACAGGATGGAGCAGATGGACTCCCACTGGGGGAGGAGGGATGGACACACACATACCCACACACACTCCTCCCAGGGCAAGGTGTGCCAAGTGTGTGAACCCACATCCCCAGGGCCCCTGAGGCAGGCAGGCCTCAGGAAGGAGTGGATGGGAGAGGGCATAGGGCTGGGCAGGAGAGGCACAGGCAGTGGCCAGGGCCACGGGGTCCCAGGAGTGGGCCCAGCTTCTCTGGAGGCTGGGTAAGCGTGCCGGGAAGGATTTGTATTGTTGAATGAATTGTGCCCCTTCCAAAATAGGGGTCAAATCCTGGTCCTGACCCCAGGGGATGCAATCCCACTTGAGAACGGGGTTCTCTCTGTGAAAATGAGGTCCTATTGGGCCTCCATTCAAGCACTTACTCATTGCAAGAACACATTGTTCTTTTAAATTGGCATTCCAGGATGCACACCTTCCTGAATCAATTGCTGAAGAAAATTGTGAACATAAGCAAAGGTGGTGAAGAAAGCTGATGGTGCCCGGCTACCATAAG